GATGCATCACGACCTCAACTACTGAAATTAAAACCCCCCAAAACCTTTCCCTTACAAACTTGGGGTGTAGAATAAATTCCTGCCAATCCTTCCCTCGTGTTCACACCTGGGACCTGCAGCTCTTTTTTTACCACTGCAGGGAATTTTCATCTTCCCTGACCTTAAAAATCCCAGGTCAGCTCAAAAAACGTGGGTCAAACTGCAGTAACTCACCTCAGGCTCCCCATAAAACCTGGGAGGGACACACAGAATTTTAGGACAAGGTTCCTCTGACCTACTTTAAACAGCAAGAGATGAGTCACAAACCAAAAAAAAATAAAAATAAAAAAAATAAGCCCCCTTATTCCTCTCCCTGTCTAAAAAGAATTCAAGGTGAAGCTGTCAGCACTGAAGCCCTGTCAAGTTAAATAAAGGTTCACCTCTCTGAAATGACAAAATAAAATCTTTGCAGATCTACAAACTGCCCCATTTAGTTGAACATTCAGATTAAAGTCACTTGGTTCCTCTGGGTTTTTTTTCCCTGGTTCTGGAAGCCACCATGAAACATCATTTAGAGCTGTAGAAGCAACAGAGAAACTGTGAAAAACAACTTTTAGTTGTTTTCTCTGAGTAGAACCAGAAAATCATCGTGGTTGGAAAAGACTTTTAGGGTCATCAACAGATGTTGGATCTTTTCAGCAGCAGCAAAAGCTCCAAGGCCACCTGGAGGGATCCAGAGTGGATCCAGAGCAGCTCCCTCTGCTCTTTTGACCTCATCTTTAAGGAGCAAGAGCCTGTGTTGCTTCCTCCAGACCTTGGATTAACTGAAGGATAATTCCATGGAGCTTCTGATATGTAGAAATAACAGAGAGGTGCTGTGTGTGTCTCACTAGTGTCCACAGGAGGAAAAGCCTCCCAAAATATTGCACCCTCGTGGGCAAGAACATCTTCCACGCCGCTCTGGAAGGAGGGGAAGAACTTCTGGAACTCAACTTACTCCTTCTCTTTTGTCCTTCCCTCTCTCAGCACCTTCACACGTGCTTAATGCCCGTTATCCCTGCACATCCTGACACCCAGGATCCTTAATATAACACAATAATTACATTTTTACCATTTTTACTGCTGATCTCCTCTCTCCTGCCCAGCCTCTCTCCCTGCTCGTTCACCTTCACTGCAGGAAAAAATTAGGCTTTTATGTTAAAAACACCTCCCCCAGCACTGACAAAACCCACCAATATTTATGTTTTAGGATGTAAGAGACCAAGTAATCACAAGAGTTAAGGGAACAGTTGCTGACATCTTATTTCAGCCTTTTGGCAACTCACTCCCCTGCCACATCATCCTCATTTTCAGATAACACACAGACACAGATGAACACTGGGGATGATTTGCTCTACCCATTCTTAAGCTCCTAAAAAGATTAAGTCCATAAAATACCACAGCAGATGGACTGATGGATCAGTTAAAAGCTTTTTCCCTTGGTTCCTACTATGCTGCTCCATGTATTTGGCAATTCTTGCACCTGAATAAGAGTTTGAGACAGGTGTTAAGCAGTTCAGTGTGCTCATCTAGGCCAAGATCAGAGATCAAAGCCTACCCCTCACTCTCATTATTTCATATTTTCCCTTTTGAGAAAAGCATTTTGAAGGCTTCTGGCTCTTGACTCAACAGGAATCATGATGAAATAGTGAAGGTAGAAATGTGCAACTCCTGCTCCAGAGTAACTCCTGGGTAACTCCTGCTTCAGCTTCTCACCTCTCTGAAGAGGGAAAAACATGGTTGCTCTTAAAAAAACCCCTCCATTTGGCAAATGTTACCCCAGTTTTGGATTTTAGCCGAGTTTTTGATGCTCTCACAGTGTCCTGGATAACCTGCCCAGCACAGAGGTGGACAAATCCATCCCACTTTGGCTGAACAAATGGCTCAAAGGGTTGCAGTCAATGGGGTGACATCAAGTTGGTGGCTGGTCACCAGTGGGGCTCCCCAGGGCTCAGGGGTTTAGGGCCAGTGTGTTTTAATGTTTTTATAAATTATCTGGATGAAGGAATTGGTGATAATATTAAATTCCTGATGATACTAAACTAGCAGCAGCCACTGACTCCCTGGAGGGTAGAGAGGTCCTGCAGAGAGATCTGGACAGATCAGAGAGCTGAGCAATCACCAACTGTGTGTGATTTCATAAGAGCACATGTTGGATTATCCACCTGGGATGGGCTAAACACACAAATTGGGGGATGACAGGCTGGAAAGCAGCACCAGGGAAGAGGATCTGGGGGTTTGGGTTGATGGCAAGTTGAAATAGAGCCAGCAGTGCCCTGGCAGCCAGGAGGGACAACCATGTCCTGGTCGAGGGAGAGGATTGTCCTGCTCTGCTCTGGGGGCACTTTTGGGACATCAAATTATTGGTGTGCTGAGGGGAGGGTGACCAAGATGGTGAAAAGTCTCAGGGACAAGATTAAAAGGGGCTGAGGGCACTTGGCTGGTGCAGCTGGAGCAGAGGAGCCCCAGGGCAGAGCTCAGCGGGGGCTGCAGCTCCTCCCGAGGGGCAGCTCCGACCTCTGGGAGCAGGGACAGGAGCCAGGGAAGGGCTGGAGCTGGGACAGGGCAGGCTCAGGGGGGATCTCAGGACAAGGTTCTTCCCCCAGAGGGTGGTGGGCACTGCCCAGGCTCCCCAGGGCAGTGGGCACGGCCCCAAGGCTGCCAGAGCTCCAGGAGGGTTTGGATGACACTGAGTGATGTGGTTGAGTTTCGTGTTGTCCTGCAGGGAGCAGAGACTTGGACTTGATGCACTTATGGTCCCTTCCAACCTGAGCTATTCCATGGCTCCATGAATTCTATGGATTCTCCTTCCCCTTGAAAACCCTGCAGAATTAAGGGTTAGCAAAGACAGCAGGGGCTGTGAGGCTCCATCAGGGAACAACAGATGTTTCCTCCCGAGTTCTGCAGGAGTTGCCTCCTCCCACCCCTATTTCCTCAAGGACTGTAACTACTCACCCCACATACACTGAGGAGGAGTTTTATATCAAGAGAGACCAAAAGGGACACAAAAAACATGCACCTTGTTTCTTGGGCAGGAGGAAAGGACACACATCCCAAGTGTTTTCCAATAAAGCCTTTTCCTTTCTTTCTGCCCGTCTCTCTCACTCCATGGTCACACTAAAGACATCACCTAATCAATTATTCCCTCAAATCCAAGGGAAGGGCATGGTCAGGGAAATGGGATCATTAAATACAAGCTTTGAGTCAGAAAAAACACTCTAAAACTTGTGACCTGTTTCATATAAAAGCTTTTCAGTTGCTCTGAAGTGAGTAACCAGCACCCTGAGGTTTCTTGGATGCAAAAATTAAATTCTCTGGACAAAGGGAAAAAACCACCATTTGAAGGAAAGCTCTGTTGGTTTCACCAGAATTTCTCACATTTATATAAAATATACTGCTTCCAATACCCTTTCTTTATAAACTTATATTTTTCTGGAGTGAATTTTTAATTTTGCAAAGCATTAGAAGTCACAGAAAAGTTAAGAACAATACAAATATAATAAAAAAATACAAAAAATTATTCCTGTACCTTGTTGAGTTTGCCAAGGGAAGATATCAGATCTGCCCATTCACTGGATGATTCAAAGTTTCTCAGAGCTTTCTCAATTGCTGAAGAATAATTCCTGTATCTGTAATCCCCCAGCAAATCCTGCTCTTCTGGATCCATCTTCGGTTCTCATAGCAAGGTGGAACCTCCTGGTGAACTAAAACATGCAAAGAGTCACAAAAATAACCCACATTTTCAGCTCTGGCAAACTCAAAAGTACTGTAAGATAACAATAAATATGCAGAAGCCCTGGCAGAGCACAATAAACAGGTCAGCAGAGCAAGTTGAAACACAAAGTTAAGAGTCATGCCCAGGGAATTATTTTTAACTCCCCAGTGCCTCTTTTGGAAGCTTTGCAGTCACATTTTCCTACTCATGAACAGTGTTTTTCCCCTCCCCTGCACGTGGATGTCCCACAAAAACAAAGGGAAGGATGACAAAGTCTCCCCCACTGAAGGAGGAGAAGGAAATAGTTTTCATAACTCGTTATCTGTGCTGAGCTTTGCAAGGTCAGCATGGAATGGGAAACATTCCATCTCAAAATGCAGCTTTCCAGAGGAATCCTGCTCAAGGGCCTCTCAGCAGAAGGAGCTCTCAGGGCTCTGCATCTCAACTTGGCAGGAGCAGATGCTCCAGTACCAGACCAAGGTGTGGTGCCAAAAAAGCTCAGCCACGCATTTTAGTCTTCCTTATTTCGACAAAAAAAGCATCCTCACGTTTTTAGGAAGGAAAAATAAGTTGTTCAGATCTCATTTTCTCATATTTTGCAAGGTATTTAGGTTAAAAATCCAACATACACCTTGGTTTAGAACAGTGGGAAACGAGCACAGTTGGATTTTCTGTACTGAAAAATAATTCCTTCACTCCTTTGTTACCTCTGACACCAGTTCTCCTGATAGAATATATAAAAATATTCTTCTGGAAGATTCTAAATATGCTTAGGTTTAGGAACAGCAGGTTTAGGTCAATCCCTGCTACATCACTGATGGAGAAGAGAAAGCACAGCTCAAAACCAAAATATTTAATGTTTCTGAAAGACATCTGCGTTCACTTCCCTGTGGTTAGAACACAAAAATACACCTATATTCTTTTAGAGCAGGTCTCCATTAACTGCAACACACAACAATAACTAAATCAATAAAGGAGTTTTGGCAGGAAACTCTCAGAAAAATGCCTGATGAATCCCCAAAAGAGAAAGGATTTTAAATGCACCTTTGCACTCCCCTGAGGAGGATTCAGCCACTGCCAGTACAACCACCCTGTGCCATCCAAACTAGATCCACCTCCAGGGAAAAAAAAATAAATATCACACAGTGTCATCAGGGCCAGATTTGGTTGGTTGGGTTGATTTGTTTGTTTGGCTACAGTGAGGGTTTAATTTTTGTTTTTCCCAGGATGTTTGCAGGGCTTCTCGCAGCAGAGAGAGTGAAAACCCCACTGCCCTGCAGGGTAAACCATTTATCTGGGATACAGCTCTTCTTGCTCCAACAAGGATTTAAAAGAAAAAAAAAAGCCAATTCTCCCATAAAACCCAACAAAGTGGAAAATACAAAGTGGAAAATTGCAAGATACTGTCAGCAAAAATCAGGAGTAATCTGATATTAAACACTGCCAGGGCAAGAAATGGAACCCTGTTTCCCTCATCTCATCCAAGTACCTTAATCACTGGATTGTGTTCATACTCTTTAGATCAAAGCATGAGCTAGGAAGTTATTCCAGCAGCTCCCTGCCAAGTCAGGGCTGCTGGCACTTCCTTCAACAGGAGATTTGTCTGGATCCCCTGGAATGGGGCAGCAGTTCTGCTGACAGGACACATCAGATCTGGAAATGCTGTAAAACCACTCAGAGAATGGGAATCGACCCAATTATCAGCAGAATATAAGAGGTTCTAAATATCCTATAAAAATCATGTCCCAGAGCATTTTTTGGAGCATTAAAACCTGGTGTGTTTATCACAGAGTGGTTTGGGTGGGAAGATCATCCAGTTCCACCCCCTTCCCATATCCCAGGTTGCTCCAAGCCCTGTCCAACGAGGCCTTGGACACTTCCAGGGATGGAATTTCTCTGGGCAACCTGTGCCAGGGCCTCATCACCCTCACAGGGAAGGATTTCTTCCTAATTTCTAATCTAAATCCGTTCTCTCCCGGTTTAAAGCCATTTAAGTAAAATCTAATTCGTTTCTGAGGGTAAAAGAGAATGTATTACCCAAAAGAAAAAAAACCCCAACTAACAAAACTTCATTTAAGGGGGAAAAAAAAAAAGTGTCATTCAGTTCTTAAGACACTGTATTTGGATTTTGCAGTGAAAGGACAGGTAAATGGTGTATTCCCAAGCAGAAAAGCAGGGATGGATGGAATGCTTTGGCGTGGATTGATGGCCATGCACCTCAGCTGCCAGATGTCAGCGAGGTTTGACAGAATCCAGTAATCTAAACATGGCCAACAGATCGTGTTTGGGCTCGGACACAAAGGCAGGAAGATTAAAAAAAATATAAACAGTTAAAAAAAAGCCAAACAAAAGCCACTTGCCGGCGACCTTCAGGCACACCTCCCAAATCCTGGGTCACAAACTTCCTTAGTGAATCCTGATGTTAATAGTTTCTCATCAGCTTCCAGCACTGATGGTAAAAACACGACAAGTTCCACCTCAATACGAGGAAGAACTTCTTTCCACGGAGCAGGGCAGAGCCCTGGAACAGGTTATCCAGGGAGAATCGCGGAATATCCTGAGCTGGGAGGGACCCCCCGGGATCACCCAAGGGTGCCCAGGACACCCCAAGAATCCCCCCCTGTCCCTGGGAGCGTTGTCCAAACGCTGCTGGAGCTCTGGCAGCCTCGGGGCCGTGCCCAGTGCCCTGAGGAGCCTGGCAGGGCGTGGATTCTCCCACTCTGGAGACATTCCCGACCCACCCGTGTTCCTGTGTCACCTGCCCCAGGTGACCCTGCCCGGGGGGGGGTCGGACTGGGC